TGGCCAGGGACACCTGAGGTGGGAAGGTTTTGGCTTTTCACAATGTTCCTTGGGCTACAGTACAAAGCTCAGTGCTAGGAACAAACCAAACACCCCCTAGGTGCCCAGAGAAGGGCTGGCTAGTAACAGCCTGGCTCGGAGAGCTCTCTGCAATGGGAAGATGCCTGTGGAGCAGTCACAGGGCAGCGGCACACGGCTCCGGTGGGATTGGGGGAGGCCCAATATCGAGATCTGAGGCCTGAACAACAAGCTGTGAACCAAAGCTGGGCCATTTGGCAAAATAAATACTTACAAGGTCACTGTCCAATATAAGACCATGGCAAAAGTATTGCTAGCATTGCTAAAAACACGGGTACTCCTAAAAAGGTATTGTTTATGTCTGAGAACACACTGCAAAAAATTAGTCCAGGAACATCGTGAAAGCACCGGATAACATGGTTTGCCCAGCACGCTTGAAGCATATTACAACTGGAGATAACAATCAGATGTTATGAAACACATAAGGGCTATGTCTAGACTGGCCCCTAATTCCGGAAAAGTCATGCAAAGCAAGTAAGTCAGAATAGGGAAATCCGCGGGGGATTTAAATATCCCCCGTGGGATTTAAATAAACATGTCCGCCGCTTTTTTTCCGGCTTGGGGAAAAGCCGGAAAAAAGCGTCTAGACTGGCGCGATCCTCCGGAATAAAGCCCTTTTCCAGAGGATCTCTTATTCCTACTTTCATTGGAATAGGGAAAGTAGGAATAAGAGATCCTCTGGAAAAGGGCTTTATTCCGGAGGATCGCGCCAGTCTAGACGCTTTTTTCCGGCTTTTCCCCAAGCCGGAAAAAAAGCGGCGGACATGTTTATTTAAATCCCACGGGGGATATTTAAATCCCCCGCGGATTTCCCTATTCTGACTTACCTGCTTTGCATGACTTTTCCGGAATTAGGGGCCAGTCTAGACGTAACCAAGTTGTTTGTCTCAGTCTATAAATATCATTATACATTGCCTTAACCCTTTTTGCAGCCTAGAAAACAGCATAAATTCCTGTTGAAATAGCCACTTCTTGACACAGGACATTCATATGTTAATGTACAGAACCATGGAGCAGGAGCTCTAGCATTGTTTTGAGGAAAATAAATTGGGACAAGTGCCTTTGCCACAGAACTGTACCAGTGGTCATTCTTTATGAGTATTGTTGAGACTTGTTGAATTAGCAAATTGTATTCTATGCTTATACCAATAACACTGGCATCCAGAGACAAAAACACTGAGCAGCTGTGGCTAAAACTATAATGCATACAACATCATACTGATATGCGTCAAAGTTCCTGCATTAACTGCATCTCCAACTCCAAGTTATCCCCCTGAAATCACAGACCTCCAGCACAAATCTTTCTCTGGGTGGAGTCCCATAATTCTTTTCCTTCAGATTAGGACTTCAGGCTGCAGAGTTCTTCTATTTTCTATGATTGCTTCATTAGACCTGTTTCTGATGGTCTCATGCCTGTGTCAGTTCTTGGATGATCCCACTGTCCCTTCTCAAACAAGTCAAAGGCTTTCTGATGAGGTGTTGAACCAAGTCAAACCAATCTGTGTGCTCCTTCTGTAGAACAGTGAAACTTGACCTCAAATTTGCTCCTGGATAGTGTTACCATGGCAACGACATTACAGTATTCAGCAATTAACAACTGGATGCAGGCTACAATAGTGACGTCTCATGATGTATGAAACACACTCCCCCCCCAGAGATTTTGACCCCCACTGCAGGTGTAGTTGTGAGGAGACCTCAATGAGATATAGTTACAAAGACCTTCTTAGGGTATGTCTACAGTGCAATCCTCTTTCAAGAGAGGAATGCAAAATAGCCATACAGGAGTTGCAAATGAAGTGGGAATTTAAATATTTAAGTATTCATGTGCATACTCTTGCCTGAGCACTCTTCTGAAACACAACCGTTTTGAAAGTGAAAGTGCGCTCGGGACGGGATTAGTTCAAAACAAACCCCTTGTTTCGAACTAACCCTTACTCCAAGGGGTTTGTTTCAAACTAACCCCATCCGGAGCGCAATTTCAGTTTCAAAACAGCTGTGCTTCAGAAGAGTGCTTGGGTGAGAGCATGCAAATGAAGCGCAGGATATTTAAATCCCTGCTTCATTTGCAACTTTGGTATGCCTGCTTTGCATTCCTCTCTCAAAAGAGGATTTCACTGTAGACATACCCTGAGCTGTTGCAGAGCTTCTAGCTTCTTCTCAACCCCCAAACCCTGATTCATTTTCTGTCCTTGCCACCTCCACATCTGTCTGCACCTAGCTCAGTTGTTGATTCTACTCATTACCCTGTCCCCACACCTGCCTCTCTTGCACCTCCAGGGCTTCTTCACTCCCCTACTATCCCTGATGCTGATGGGAAGAAGCTTCCTAGAATCAGAGAGATGAGGAAACAAGGACAGACAGTGTAGTTGGGATCTACCAGGGTCATAGAGACAAGGGTTTCTTTAAGGTGGATGATTTCAGAGCTCCCAGTGGGATACTTCCCCCATGCCTCAGGGGCACACTCTAAGTGGGGATCCCACTACCTGGAACCAGGGTCGTATCCTTTCCCCAGGGAGGAACCCCTGTGGGAAGGTGAAAATTGGGGTCTCATCACCAGCATTGATAAATGTCACCTGCCCCCGTTCACAGTCCAGATAAACCCGGATCTTGCTGGGAGGGCTCAGGGGCAGGGGGGCCTCAGGAGAGGTGAGAACCTGGAACCGAGCCACCCATCGCTCCACAGCCCAGATCCCCTCCTCCGGGCTACGGCTGATCTGTCCCTTCCTCTGCACAGATTCTCTGGCCACCCCCAGAGCCCAGAATTCCCCATCTCCCATCTCCACCTCCCAGTAATGTCTCCCTGTGGAGAATCCCTCACTGCCCAGCACACAGCGATATGTGTCAAATCTCTCTGGGTTGTTGGGCAGTGGCTTCTCTGTGTCTCCACATCTCACACTTTTCTGATCCTCAGACAGGATGAGCAGGGGATGAACTGTGTCTGGATCCAGAGT